GGTGTCACATGAAAGGCCTTGTCCTGCGGGTGTACACCATAGCCTTAGTTCCATGAAAGGAGTTGCCACATGTTAGAAAATCGAATTCAAGATTTCTCTGCCGCAGAGGGTTGCGTTAAATATTTAACACCACGTCATAAAATCTGTATCGTTCGTTCGATTTTTAAAAATGGGGTGTCACATGAAAGGCCTTGTCCTGCGGGTGTACACCATAGCCTTAGTTCCATGAAAGGAGTTGCCACATGTTAGAAAATCGAATTCAAAATTTCTCTGTCGCAGAGGGTTGCGTTAAATATTTAACACCACGTCATAAAATATGTATCGTTCGTTCGATTTTTAAAAATGAGGTGTCACATGAAAGGCCTTGTCCTTCTGGTTTATAACATAGCTTTAGTTCCATGAAAGGAGTTGCCACATGTTAGAAAATCGAATTCAAAATTTCTCTGCCGCAGAGGGTTGCGTAAAATATTTAACTTCAAGTCATAAAATCTGTATCGTTCGTACGATTTTCAAAAATGAGGTGTCACATGAATGGGCTTGACCTGCAGATGTGCAGTATGGTTTTAGTATTTTAAAGGGTTGCCATATATACGAAAATCAAATTCAAATTATTTATTAAGTTAAACGAATTATCCCAATATGGGTATCAAAAGAAATGGTTTTGAATAAGTTGTATTTTCTAGCTAAATGTAGGAGGGTTGCCACCTGTTTCAAAAGTAAAATTTAGTTAAATTATACAAAAGTCTTACGCTTAAAATACTATACAGTACAGAAAGAGCTTACAGAAACACAATTAAAATATTTTTGAGGTGCCTGAAGAGGGTGGCCACCTGTTTAAAAAGTTAAACTCAAATTATTGAAGCAAATCTTATTATTATAGCTCCGTTATGTTTGCGATAAATATTTAACGCCACGGTACAGGTAGCATATGACGGGTATAGAAAACGAATAGCTGCGTTAAACGCCAATTGGGCGGGAAAAGACTAATGCAAAGACAAGAATATAATCAAAAACAAATATAAAGATGAGATGAAGATGAAGATGAAGATGAAGATGATGATGAAGATGAAGATGACGATGAAGATGAAGATGAAGATGAAGATGAAGATGAAGATGAAGACGAAGATGAAGATGAAGATGAAATTATATCGCACATTTCTTTCTTTCTGGAATTTCCTCTATTAAGTTTCACTTCTTCCGCGCGTAGGGACTACACGCACTGAGTTTTTTTCTCTATTGTTTATTCGATGTTTATTATTATTTTTTTCAGTATAGCTCGCTACAAGGCGAATTTATATAAGGTGGTGTTGTTTCATCAGCTGTGAGTAGCGTTTGATTGTCAAAATTTTGTATTTCGTTAGCGAGTGAGTGAAAACGTGAGTGTTTGTATTTTCTGTCGCCCTTTTTCATTCGGGGAAGAATAGCTGAAATTTGACAATGGCCCGCTAAAAGCAAAAACAAAATACAAGTAATTGTTGTATTTGTTGAATCGATACCACCTTATATGTATTCGCCTTGGCTCGCTATATAAAAAAAAATGCGTGAGTACTAGGTACTCATGAAATTTGATGTGTAAACATTTGCGAACGGCAAAGCATAAAAGTACGTTTACATATAAATATAATCTCAATCAAAGCTCGTTAGCTGTCAAATTGGTTGTGCTTGTTATTCACACAAGTCGAGGAAAAGTTAAACTTCTTCTCTTGTCACTTTTTTCTGCAACACATATTACATATATATATATTTTAACTGAATATTTTATTAAAAATACCTTTACAAACCTATTTTCCTTACTAGCGTCAATTTTTTTTTACTTTAAAATTTGACATTCCTCCTCTTCTTCGCAAGTATAATCGATAAATATATATAGATATTTTTAATTATAATTTTGCATGGCTAATCTCTTTTTCTAATAACAGATTAGGGAGTTAAGCTCGAAAATTAGGATAATCTTTTTTATATGTAAAGCTATTATTAGGCGATTCAGTTACATACATACAAATGTAGGTTAGGTTAGAAATTAAACATTAATT